CACACACGCACGACACGACACGCACACACACAGCGAACACACACGACAACACACACACACATATAGATAATTCGTGAGAGTGATAATATAGTTGATTGATAGAGGATAGACTCTAGAAAGTAAAGTTAATATAGATGAAGTAAGAGGGACGAGGAGAATCAGATATATATTACCAGAGAGAGACAGTATATACCGCGCAATGAGGGTGGTTATCCTCGTGTAAAATTCTTCACAGACACGCCTCAGCATGCTCTATTCTCTCTCTCTCGTGCTCTCGTCGTAGAGCTCGCTCTCTCCTCTGCTCCTTCGCTCTCTCTCCATTTCTCTCTTCCCTCATGCAATCTCGATTCGGAGACGAGCCATGCCCTCGCTGCATCGAGAGGTCGCCGACTCCCTCTCTCTCTCTCGTCTCTCTCTCTCTCTCTCTTTCTCTCTCTCTCTCTCTTCTTCTGATTATTTGATTCTACTATATCTCACGTCGGAAGAGGAGAACCGACATCCGCGTAGAAATTTCGAACTCGAACAATCTGATAATTATTAATGTACGACGTGCTGGATACTGAAGCAATCTTGCACAAACGGTGATATCTCACGTAGGGCTATCTATCTTTGGCATTGGAGAAACAATGTTAATTACTCGCATCGGGACCTGGTAGTTCCACAGCACTTGGGAGAACGTCTCAATAAAAAAGAATTAATGGTAAGATATAAACGGAAAATGTACCAAAGTCTTAATGTTTCTCTACCTATTTCGCTATAATCACCTGTAATCTGCCGGGCCAACAGCTCATCCAAGCGACACAAGTTACACTCGCACAGCCCGCCCTGGGCTGCGTGCAAAAACAACATAAATAAGAGAGGTATCATCTCTCATATTCATGAGTCTCTCTTACTCATGTTGTTTTTGACCGGCATTTACAGGTGATTATAGACGAAATAGAAAGTAGAGAACATTTGGAAGACTTTTGTATATTTGGCGTGTTTAATTTACCATTAATTTGTTTATTGAGACGTTCCAAGTGGCCTGTGGGTAGTTCGTGACTTTTCAACAATAATTGGATGAAGATAATCTCGGCGGCAGCTGATCAGCGACCCACTGGAGGGTTAGGCATAAACCGGAGACTCGTGAATAGCGGCTTCTAGTACGCCAGATCAATGTAGTCGGAACACTCGGCATGCACGCGTTGGAGGTCGCGTCTGCGTGTGTGGAGAGAGAGAAGAGAGTGAGTGTGAGAAGATGTCTGTGCTTCGGTTATCAACGAGTTGTGGCGAGCTAGCGTTGCTTCGTGTGCTGTGCAGTCGCCCGGGCCCGCTCCCGCTCTCTTCCGCGTGTCGTTTCGTGGTGCTGTGCTCATCTGAGTGCGGTGGAAATGGTGCATGACCGGGTGCAAAATCACATCGTTGATGTTGGAAAACGCCATTGGCGGTTGCGCGATGTGTGTGTGTGCTGTGTGTGTCTGGTCTGTGTAGTGCTGTGACGTGCGTCGCTGCTTGTGTGGTGTGCGTGTGCGCGTAGATGGGCGTGTGATGTGTCCGTGTGTGGTGGTAGCCGTGACGGTGACGTGTGATGTGTGTAGTGTAAAATGTAAGTAGTTGAAGTGATCTTCCGTGCGCTTTGTTTAGCAGTTGCCTAGGGTTGCTAATGAAGTCAGTGTGTGGATTGTGATTGTGTAAGAGTGTGTGGTGTGTGTGTGTGTTGTGTTGTGTGTGGCGTGCGGTGTGTGTGTGGTGATGTTGTGATGTGTGTGTTCGTGTGGTGAGTGTGTGTGCGCGGTGTGGCGTGTGTGTGGTGGTCTTGCGTGTGTGTGGGATGTGTGTGTGTGGTGTGTGAGTGTGTGTGCGTGTGGCTGTGTGTATGAATTTAATGCCTTTTGGGCGTGTGCGTGGTGGCGTGTGATGTGTGTGTGTGGTGGTGTGTGACGATTGTGTGGCAAATTGTGGAGTACAGGGTAATCTGTTGTGTGATGGTGTGTGTGTGTGTTTGTGTGTGATTGTGTGTGTGTGTAGTGTGGTTGGTGTGTGTGTGTGTGGTGTGTGAGATGGTGTGGTGAGTGTGCGGTAGCGTGGCTCGCGTGGTGCGCATGACTGGCTGTGTGTTTGTGAGGTTGTCAGTATTTGGTGCGTTAGTATGGATGTGTGAGTCACTCAAGTCAAGAATGTACTGGAGTATTGGATTATCGATGGACATGGAGTGTACGTGTGTAGTGTGTGTAGTGTGGTTGACTGTGGTAGAGGTGGGTCGGTGATGTAGTGACCTGTGTGTGGGGTGGTGTGGTGTCGTAACTGTAGTGTCTGATGTGTAGTGTGTGCGCGATGTGTAGGTGTGTCGTCGTTGTGTGTGTGTGTGGTGTGGGTCTTGGATGGTGATGTTGTAGTGATGTGGTTGCTGTGTGTGTAGAAGAATTGCGCGCGCGCTGAGCCGATGTGGGAATGTATTAGTGCGTGTAAGAGCTAGTAAGCGCCGACAGGACGGATTAATGGGTGACGGAGAACATGTATCGAGGTGAGACGTTGCTGTGACAAGATAATAAGCTGCTAACTGGGGATGTTACAGCTCCGCACTCTCCCTACAGGGATAGTACGGAAGTATAACATAGCGTCTAACCGGGTAAGCTGTAGCGACTCCAACGACTGTATGGAGGGTTCAGGCGCGGTACCGGAATGGGGCGTCGACAACGGACACAAGCTGTGACGATGCACAAGCAACAGGCGTCAGTGTCTGGGAGAGCATGTATGTGTATCAACAGTGTGTGTCGATGCTATACGTAGCCTGCGCTGCAGAAGCCGCAATGTGCTCGTATGTGGCACACTTGTGTGTCGTCGTGAGTGTGTGTGGTGTGTTGCTGGAGTGCACCTCGCAACCACCACCTCTGGTGTGTAGCTACTGACTAGCTGTGTCAGCGACTGATCGTACACCGATGCAGCTAGAACGCCGTATATGTGTGTGAGTGCTCGTGATGTGTGGCTATGTGTGTGTGCACCACAACACAACACCACACACCCACCCACACACACCAAAGACAAAGAATGCATTGAGCACCACACATGTGTTTGGTTTGTTTGTGTCAGGGTGTGTATCAGTGTGGCGTGCGAGCGCATGTCGCTGTGTGGTGTGTGTGTGTTGTTGTGTGTGTGTGTGTGTGTGTTTGGGTGTGTATGTGCCGCGCGCGCGAGTCTAGCATGTGTGTGTGGTGTGTGTGTGTTGTGTGTGTGTGTGCGTGTGTATGTGTGTGTGTGTGTGTGTGTTGTGTGGTGTGGGTGTGTTATACGCTTGCTATCGTTTAAAGCCGTTCGAGATCATTACTTTAGCGACGACGCTGTTGACGGTCGGCACCAGGTGGCCGACGATAAACACCGACGAGCCGATCGCGAATAGTGCGAGGCCGACGACAAACATGACGGCGAGGCACCTCCAGTTTCCAGCCGACGACGAAGACGCCGCTGCAGACGTCGGCACGGTGGCCAGCTGTGGTATAAAGCCGTTGCGACAACGCGTGTGTTAGTTATGACAACATCGGCGTGTCGGCAAGCTATATAGCTGTATATATATATATTATTATATATACTATAGTAGAGAGATGTCTGCACGCATACATTAGTTACGGAAAGCTTACGGATGAGGGTTATGAGAGCGTATTTAATTGCAGCATAAAGGACAAAAAACAAACAGACACAAAAGACAAAGTTAAAAGGAAAAGACATGCTTTCACGACATAGTCGCGCGACATTTTATAAATAGACAATCATAGCCCAGAACAGATACGTCGAGAACTGACTGTGACTGAAACAGAGTCGCTTCGCACTGTAGGCCTACAGTACGATTTCAGAACACTCGTGGAATTGTTACATTGTAAGAGACAGATGTGAAGTACTG